GGCATTATTTTAAGCTATTATTTTATTTTCTCTGAGGGTCCCTCGTAATTAAAAGTATTTCCTTTTAATTAGGTCTGTGGGTACAACTTTTTAACTAAAAATGTCCTCATTTAATTCTTCTCCTAAGTCTACCTAAACTCACATCTTCAGCTCTCTGAGAATTCATTCGTCTCCCCTGTATTTCCCCTAATGCCACTCTCTGTGCAGGAACACCACCCTCTTTCTTGGGGTGGGGGGTGGGGGGTGGGAGGTAGCCAGCACTCAGCCCCATCACTTGGAATCACCGTCTAGGAGGAAATCATGTCTCTGCCTCAAAGATAGTTGGGAAAGGAGAATTTCCTCTACAGAATTGGGACCGTGCAAAAAATGTAATTTGGGGTTAGAAACGTTTCTTTTCTTATGTAGCTAGCCCCTACCAACTGATGGAAAAAAATTTTGTCAGACCTCTTTCTTGCAGCTGAATGTTTTTAAGAAGTCTTTCTATGCTATCTGCTAGATGACACGCTCTCCTCTTAGCTCTTCTTGCCTTTTGGTCATAGTCCATCCAAAGGCTGTTTCGTATTTTAGATCATGGAGGGCTGTGTCTCTGAGAGAGCTGCAGTGGCCCGGGTGACCCGGGGTGACGTGGCTCCTGCGCCGTGGTCATACTCTCGCTCTCTTGAGAGAAGTTGGAGCTGGCCACCTCCTGCCGATGATCAACTCTCAGTTGTTTGTAATTTTCTAGCAAAATAAATACTGAGGCTATAATTTCTCATGCTTGTTCTCAACCTCAGAAATGTATTTTGTTGTTGTTGTTTTTGGAAGGCTTCGAAAATGTCTGCTCAGAGGAGATTATCTCAGTGGGAAAATGTATGCCAGCAGTTAAACTTCTCAGACACGTTTTATGTTTCGTGTCCAAATAACCCCTTAAAAAGCAAGTACCTATGCCTCAGTGAGGAATTCATGTCAAGAATTCAGTTTCCCTTCTCTCTGCGTTTTGATTCTTTTCTTGATCTCTCCTCTTTTTTTGAGAAAATGCATAGAAAAGAAGGACCTAGACAGACTTCATGTTGCCGAGAAAGAGAACAGGCCTTATGGCTGCCTTCACCTGACTTTGAAATTGTACCTTGATCACTTCACAGTGGGGCAGTTACACTGCAAATGGTACTCCAGTTAAACCTTACTTGCCTTTTTTTTTTTTTTTTAAACTCATTAAAGCAAAGTGCTCAGAAATCTGTGTCTTTGGAATTCTCTTTCCAGACCAAACTTACTGGTGACTTGGTCCAGAAGGTAACCCAGTTTCCCAGCTATTTAGGAAGATGCATCGTGGTGACAGTGACACCCTGCCTGGTCCCATATGTTAGTCACGATCCTGCTTTTACATGAAGGAAACCTCACAGTGTCCTGCTTTGGGGTCATTAAATGCTACCTGCTCCTAAGTTTGTCGTGGGGATTAACGAGTTAACTCTTCCTCCTCTGGGTACCTGCTTCCTCTCACCCTCCCTGGCTCCCTCCCCAGCTACATTCTTTTCTCCTTGTTGCTTTTAAAAGCAGGATGGTGGCCAGCAGCAGCAGTGGGGTCTGTTTCCATTTCGAACCTTATAAATTACCGAGGGTGCAGAAGTAACAGGAATTGTTTGCCTGGTCCTTGTTAAGCAGGAGGGGGTCGGAGCTGAATTTCCTCAGTAAAACCTTTGTGGATTTTACAACCCAGACACCTCCGCAGCTACCCTGTGCTCAGATCAGAACCAGCCCTCCTGCCCCTGTTTGTCTGTTGGTCTTCTTTTTTGTTCTTTATTACTTTGTATTCATTTTCTGTCTCCCTGCCTCTCTGTCTCCCAGCTTCCTTCCTCCCTCCCTC